CATTCATCAATGAACAATGCCAGCAAACTAGCTGCTAATACAAATGCTAGCTTCTAATGCTAGCAAACTACCCCCCCCCCATGTCATTATTCAATCTTATAATGAAAACATTAAATTAATTCATCAATGAGCAATGCCAGCAAGCTAGCTGCTAATGGTAGCAAGCTATTTTTTTTCATTGTATATCATTGTTAGCATTATAAGTGTAATCAATGTCATCTTTGAAGAAGCTAATTCTGATGATCAGTGCTAATGCAAATGTTAGCTAGCCCACTATTTTTATATGTAATCTATTGGTAGATGCTAATGCTAGCCCCGTCCCTCTGTTCTGTTTATCCCTATTTTTTCACCAATAAAGGAGAAAAAAAAGCTAATACTAATGCTAGCTACCTTCCCATTTGTTATTTGTTATTCATACATCAATGAACAATGCCAGCAAGCTAGCTTCATTGCTGCCATTATCATCATTTTCATTTACTGCAATTATAATATATCATTGTTGGCATTATAATTGTTATCAATACTCATTATGATTGTTATTTTAACTATTATTTTCATTATTATTATATACAATCAAACAAAATGTCAGTTTATATACACTTTGTCACTTGTCTATTGTGCTTCAGGCTTAAAATGTCTTCTGTGTCACCTTCTGTTTGTCTGTTCATCACCAAGACAGAAAAAAAAGCTAATGCTAATGCCAGCTGCTAATGCAGCCGTGTTCTTTGTCCATTAAGTATGGTGTAGAGTTACCGATCTCAACAGCATGGAAGTTATTAGTAAGAAAAATGTCAAATATTCAAAGCTAACAGCTGTGAGATATAACTTAATATTTTTTGATGTCCAACTGTATTTAACACGGCCAAGGACCCACAGCAGAACATCACCTGTGAGATCATGATAATGCTGCAGAACCAGGAGTGACAATATATCACCAGGTGGTGGTGAACAGAATGAAGTGTTTCTGGTTTAAAGCACCGTCCTCCAGCATTTAAGAGATGGAAGGTCTTTAGTTTGGTTTTAAAAGAACACATTGATGGGGCGAGTCTAAGATCAGCAGGTAAACTGTTTCAGGTGCACAGACGCTAAAAGCATCTCACTACACTTTGAAAATGCTCTAGGCACATGGAGATCTCCAGCGTGTGATCTGCTGGGATTGTAAACTAACAGCATGTCTGAGATGTTCTGTGAAGCCAGACCAGCAGGTGCTTTGTGACCAAGAGGAGGATTGTTTAGATTGTATTCTGAAAACAACAAGTAGCCTGGGAAAGTTTCAGAGAAGAGAGTTATGTGGTCAGATTCATATGACTGACTGACTGACTGACTGATAGAGTTGAGTTTTACTGTTAAACCTGTGGTCAGCTGAAGACCATGTGACGATAGTAATGAAGTTACACCATTGGTCTGTTGACTTGTTTTCACTGGTCTAGACTCCAGGTATTCACAGATCAGCGGTCTCTGTTTTCTCCTGTTCAGCTGAATGAAGTTTCATGTCGTCTACTGCTTCATTTTTTGAACCATCTATCATCTATCTTTCACCTGGTGTAAAGCTCAAGTGTCTTTGCTAGTTTCAGACTGATGCAGTTGTTCATTTTTCCATCCAGTGCACAGGTTGTTTAAATAGCCAGTTGTTTAAATCGACCAACAGAAACCTGGTCTTCAGTAAATGGCACAATATTTCTCCATTATTTTAAGGGCACATTGTCAGTATGCTCCTACATAGGTGGGTGCACAGTGTGTCTGTTTAACACAAGCAGCTTTCTGAAGATGAGTGTGGTGTCTTAGCTGATTTGTGAGTCAAGGATAGGAGTGTTTTAGGAGGAGACTCTAAGATAAAAGTCAGGAACCAGAAGAGGGGGGGCACCCCCTCCGTACCAGTCTCCAAAAACACTCCTAAAAGCTGACTTAGGTTTTATATAACATAATTTATGCTCCAAGGATCCAGCTGATTACTGGCAGTTTGAAGGAGGATTTTTCTTCATCTGCTCCGTTGCTCCGTCACTTCTGGTAAAGATTCATTGACCTTTGTGGTATGTTTAGATTTTACTTATTAATACACTGTATAGTTGGGATTCTGACATAAAATATAGTGTAATGTTTGTCCTCATATGTTGTCAGGACTATATGGAGAATACTGTGGAAAACAAGATAAAACTGAATCGGAAGATACAAGCTAAAAAACAACAGTTGAAGTCAGTCAGTCAGTTGAAGTTTAATACGATTTTAATCTGTTTTACACAGTATTTTTTACTTTGTCTTCCAAAACAAAAGGTTTACTTTACAATATTAAGCTTGTGTTAATAGATACTTAATTTTATTATTAGGAAAAAGTTTCTCTACAAAACCTTTACTGGCGTCACTTTATTGATAGTGTTTGATCATAATAATTTAGGAAAAATCTATAAAATATCTGTAGAAATATTAATGAAACCTTCCGTAAATTTATTGTTTTTACACTTTATTTGAATTAGGATTTTTTTTACTTTAATTTTAAGTTTTTTGTTTGGCAGCCGCTGTTGCCAGTCATGTGACCTTTTTTTTTTTTTTACAGTGTAGTGTAAAAGCTGCTGCTTGACTCCGACATTACTGGAGTCACCGTCAAGAGGAGAGGCAGCTTCGGCTCTACATGTAAAGGTCTGTCTTGCAGTATACTCAACTTTATTCTGGTGTTATACTCATGGGCATGTTGTTGTAAAGACTGTATATATCTTACATTTTGTGTATTTTGTTTGAATGCTGGGGAAACCTTTTATTCTCAGTGAAAATTATTTAGTTTACTGAATGGTGAAAACAAGAGTTTACAGATACCAACTCAACTGCTGGATTGCGGAAGCATTCTGACTGGGTTGTGGAGGGAGTGAGTTCCGTCACAACTTTAGTCACTTTTGAAGTCATTTGATTGAACATCAGGTTTTATTGTGAAATGGAAAAGCTGAAAAAAGTTGATGCCTGTGGCTCAGGAGGTAGAAAGCATTCTGCACTATTCAGGAGGTTGGTGGTTTGATCCCCGGCTCCTATAGTCTGCATGTTCAAGTGTCTTTGGGCAAGATACTCAACTTGAAAGTAGCGTGACGGCTGTTCTGTCAGTATGTGAGTGTGTGAATGTACACTTGTAATACATATCCGTTATATGGATTAGGAGCTGTGTGTCAAAATCTTTTTACGAGACTATAAAAGCGCAGTCCATTTTAAAAGGGAGCTCTCGGAGAGACCAGCTCATGTCCTGATAATTATCCCATTAAGTCAAGATAACAGAGTTTTGAGTGTTTTCAGGCATCACTTTTAAAGAAGCAAACAGTTCTGATCGACTCAGATAAGGCCTTTCATAGTTTGTTTAACCCACCCTCTATAGGTTCATTGCTCCCTCCGAGGGCGGGCCATGAAATGCAGTCAGACATAACATTTGGGTGGAACTATAACTACTCTATTCTATATCAAACAATCAAACACTAGTAATAAAGAATTTTTCCCCCTACATTGGGAACAGTGGAAATGTATCCTAGACAAGTATTTTAATCAGAAATGGAATTGGTGATAAAAATGTATGAGGGAAGTTGTTGCAATGATAAACAGGAAATCTACTCTCTGAATTTCTTTAGTATCGAGAGCACAGCCTGTGGTTCAGAGGATTTATTGTGGAGAAAATCATCAGTATTTCATGTGATTTTTTTTCTTTAGGTTTTCAATTTTTCAATTTTATTTGTAATTAAACAATTGATCGACAGGCCAGAGTTGAATCGGCCCACCACAAATGGTCCTCTGCTGCCACCCTCAGGATTGTTACAGTAACTGCAGGCATCATGGCTTGTCCCTGTCAAGTGTGAATTAACAGCTTTGCCTGTTAAATGGCTGTTATAACTACACTCTACTTCACATACCTGAACTTACAATCACAACAAGTCTAACATCTAACAAACGAAATCAGTAGAATTTTCTTTGCAGCCATCTCTTGGGGCAGCAGCATCAGAGCCAATGACAGTAAGAAACTGTGCTGCGGCTCTGGAACCCCTGAAGTTGGTTGTTGAGAAAGGGTTGATGCATGAACTGTTAAACAATATGGAAGACTTCATATCCCCTACACAAACTACTTGTCAAACAACAGGATGCTTCAGCTCTGATGTAATAAGGGCTGCTACAAGAAGTCCTTCCTTCCCTCACCAGTGACGCCCCTCTGAGCCAGTGGGGGAAAATAACTCTTTAAGTGGCAAAGCATAAGCACATTATTCATTTGTTTTGAATACTCAGAGCTACATCTGAGATCTGAGATTTTTGTGAATTGCAGCTGCAACACTGCAATTTCTCTTTGAAGATCAATAACATACTTTATCTAAAGCATCATAGGACTATTTAACTAGTTACAGGTTTTAATAATTAAGTACATTTTGTGTTTTGTTTTCCAGTTGAAATTTATTGACACCATGGCCTCATCTGATGATGATACCATAGAGACTGCAGCCCTGGGAAGACCATTCCAGCTTGGCACACTGTATGACTGCCGGAAGGATGTTCTTGTTCCAGGTAAGATCTGATGAGTGTCTCAGTTAACCTTAACATGAATACACAAATAAATAAACCAAGAGGCATTGAGTAGCTCAGTTGGTTGAGCATCCGCCCCATGTGCAGAAGCTAAGATCCTGCAGTTGGCTCCGGTTCAAGTCCCGCATCGGACAGCCCTTTGCTGCATGTCATTCCCCCTATCTCTGCCTCCCCATTTCCTGTCTCTCTCTACTGCACTGTAAATAAAGGCATAAAAAGGCTCCAAAAAAATTAATAAATAAAAATAAAATAAATAAAGGTTTAAAAGGAGAAAGAAGTCATACCCCTTCTGTGTGTTATAATCCGAGCTTCTCTGGTCTTTGTTTTGGTAGCTGGCATGTTAGTGTATGTGAGTCTCTCTTTGTTAAACCATTGGTCCTCTCCACATCAGTACAGTAGTACAGTGTAGTACACAGTGTTCAGGTGAAAGTGACCCTCTAGAACTTCCTCCACTAAAGAAATAAAATTTCTGCTAAAAAGGCGTCCAACAAATAAAGAGATGAGACTGAAACATGGACTGGCCATGAGCACTACTGACCCTGGTCAGCCGGTGAGTGATCATTACATCCATAAAGTTTACCAGCTCCATCAGTGCCATTTGTGTGGCCGGCCCCAGTGGATCAGTCCAAGGTTGAATTTCTTTCCCATTCCGACCATGGAGCCAATACTGATATCACATCAATGCAAAAGTTGATTAATGGTTGTGGCTGGATTGTTTTTGTCAGATGTCATGTACACAGGGTCCATTTATTCAGTTGTGATCCTGATTGTGTGTTTCATGGACACTTCATAACGCCTTGTTGGAAAAAGAAAGGCGGGTGGGGGGTGTTGTGGAGGCAGTTGTTTTGGTCTAAGATGCTGGTGGTCTAGTGCGTCATCTAGTGGCAATGATGATCATTTACAGAACCTTTAAAAAGTATATGTATCATTTGGATAACAATGCTTAATGTTAGACATATAGGCTTAAACTGTAGTATTTGAAGGCTTTGTTGACCTAACATTGTATCATTAATTTGTCAACAGGTGTAACTCTGTGGGATCCAGATCAGCTACAAAAGAATACAAGTGTAACACGTCAACATAACACTGAATTCAATGTCACCGCATCAGATTCCATTGAGGAGAAGTCAAATTTATTAAACATCTCTGGCTCTCTGAAGTTGAGTCTCTTGGGAGGACTGGTGAATGTGGGAGGATCGGCAAAATATTTCCAAGACACAAAGAAATCTCACAAACAAGCCAGGATTACTCTTCAGTACAAAACGACAGCAAAGTATGAAACATTAACAATGTCTCACCTGGCACATGGACAGGTATCTCATCCCAATGTGTTTGTGGATGACACTGCCACTCATGTTGTCACAGCCATCTTGTACGGAGCTGGTGCTTACTTTGTGTTTGACAGAGAATCATCCTCAGAGGACGATAAGAAACAAGTGGAGGGGGAAGCGAACCTCACCCTCAATAAGCTGAAATTCCTCACAGCAAAAGGTGAGGGATCACTCATCATGAATGAAGAAGAGAAAGTAGCAGTTGAAAGATTTAGCTGCACATTTCATGGAGACTTCAAGTTACCTTCCAACCCAACGTCCTTCAACGAGGCTGTGAGTGTTTACAGAAACCTTCCCAACATGCTGGGAGAGAATGGAGAACATGCTGTTCCACTCAGGGTGTGGCTCTACCCTCTGGTGAGGTTGGATTCAAGAGCAGCAAGACTCCAAAGAGACATCAGCAATGATCTCATCACATACTCATCAGAAACAATCGAGAGTCTAAACCAGACAGAGATGAGATGCAGTGATGTACTCAAAGACACCGCAGCAACAACATTTCCTGCCGTGGAAAAGAAGGTTCAGGATTTGATGCAGATGGTCAAACGGTACAAGCTTGACTTCATGCAGAAGCTTGGTAAAGTGCTTCCTTCAATCCGAGGGGGTGGGAAAGAGGAGAGTGCCCTGGAGGACATCCTTAAGGCACATGAGAAGTCACCATTCAATAACAAAGACCTGAATCAGTGGCTAAAAACCAAGGGGAGGGAATCAGATACACTGAAGTCCTTCCTTGAACAACTGGAGAAACTAGGTATAAAAATGGATGACAATTTGGATGACCTCTTGTCTGATTTAAATGTCAGAAATATTGTGTGCTTTTCCTTTACCTCAGTAGACCAGCCTGACAGTTTCTTGGTCAAACTGTCAAAGCATCTCAGACCATCAGGAATGATGGACACTGCTGGAGAATCCTCTGATCTACAGAGCAGAAGCACAGAGTGGCTCTCCACTGATACCAGACAGACAATGAGGAAACAACTACAATTGTTTGAAGAACTGAAGAAGTTGAGCAGCAGTGCTGACACCAAATTCATATTTGCATCAAAATATGATGGAAGTCATCCTGGGGCATGTATTTTCATATATGAAGAAGGGTCTGACGATGCAGTCTGCTTTGTTCCTCCATCAAAACCTGGCACCCCAACAGCTACTGCTGTGTCACATGACAGCATAACAGTTAAAGTGTCTGAACCAGCCTCTGCCACTGTAGAAACCAGAGTAGAATACAGAATCAAAAAGAGAGAGGACACACGGTGGGCATCTCGACCACTGAAGAAGAACCAAGATGCAGTAACTCTGTCAGGACTCAATTCAGACACAGAGTATGAGATCAGAGCCACAGCTGTGGGCAAACTCAGCTACGCTGTCAGCAGTGATGTCTGCAGTGCTGTAACCCTCACAGCGGCTGGTCCACCAACTCAGGTAAAAGACACTGAAGTGAAAGCAAACTCTGTCACTCTGACATGGAGCGTCCCGTCTGTCCAACAGTGTGAATCGGTTAAAGGATACATCATTGAGTTCAAGGAGGAAAACAGCAATGAATGGCAGAGCAAAGACACCGGGAAGGAGGTGTACACCTTCACTCTGAAAGGCCTGAAACAGGATACGGTCTACTCCATCAGGATGCGCACAGATGTTGGTGTTGGAGTCAGTCTGCCCAGTGAGGAATTCAAGATTAAAACTAAGAAAAAAACACTGGATAAAAAGGAGTTCACTTTGCTCCCAGGTGATCCACCAGTCTATCTACTTAATCTGAAACCAGCAGGAGTTCGTCAGTTGAACAAAAAGGTTTTTGGAAAGGCACCAACCAAAAACCCAGCAAACAAAACCATCATGGTTGTTGGTGCTACTGGATCTGGCAAGACCACCCTCATCAACGGCATGATCAACTACATCCTAGGAGTCGACTGGAAGGACAGCTATAGACTTAAACTGATAAATGAAGAAACTCAGAAAACACAAGCGTGCAGTCAGACCTCTGAGGTGACAGCCTATCAGATTTACCACACAGATGGTTTCCAAGTTCCTTACTCCCTCACAATCATCGACACTCCAGGGTTTGGAGACACAAGAGGAATCAAACAAGACGAAAAAATCAAAGAAAAAATCAGAGAGTTTTTCTCCGTCAAGGGTGGAATTGATAGCATTGACGCAATTTGCTTCGTAGTGCAGTCTGCTTTAGCTCGTCTGACACACACACAGACATACATCTTTGGTGCCATCCTCTCCATTTTCGGGAAGGACATTGCCAGCAACATCGTTGCTCTGGTCACCTTTGCTGATGGCAAATCACCCCCAGTCCTGGAGGCGATCAAAGCTGCAGAGATTCCATGTGCCACAAACCCAGATGGATCTATTCTCCATTTCAAATTCAACAACTCTGTGCTTTTTGCCAAAAATACAGAAGCCAACACTGATGAGGACAACTTTGATCACATGTTCTGGAAAATGGGGGAAATCAGCATGAAGAAATTCTTCAATCATCTAAACTGCATGGAAACCCAGAGTCTGACCCTGACAAAGGAGGTTCTCCAAGAACGCAAACAGCTTGAGGCAATTGTTGAGGGGGTGCAGCCAATGATACGAAAAGGTTTGTCTAAACTGGAGGAAATAAACAACACAAAAGCTGCACTACAAAACCACGAGACCCACATGAAGGAGAATAAGGACTTTGAATATAAAGTAGAGGTTGACAAATCTGAGAAGATTGATATTCCTTCAGGAAAATTCATCACCAACTGCCTTGGGTGCAACTATACCTGCCATTATCCTTGTCAGATACCAAAAGATGAGAATAAAAGAGGGTGTGCTGCAATGAAAAATGGAAACTGCACAGTGTGTCCAGGAAAATGTGTGTGGAGTGACCATTTCAACATGACGTACCGATGGGATATAAAACGTGCAACAGAGAAGAGGACATATCAGGAACTGAAGAGGAAATATGAGGCAGCGCTGGGAGAGAAGATGAACTCAGAGAAAATCATTAAACACCTGGAAGTAGAATATGAGCAGGTGTACTTGCAAGTTACAAAAATGATGGAAACGTTAACTAAAAGCCTGCAGCGTCTGAGAGAGATTGCACTACGTCCAGATCCTTTGTCCACTCCAGATTACATTGATCTGCTGATACAAACAGAGGAACAGGAGGCCAGACCTGGATTTATGCAGCGTATTAAAGAGTTACGGAGTGTAAGAGAACGGGCAGTTCTTTTGACGAAGTTGAACAAGGGAGAGTACCTCACCGGAAAAGAAAAGTCGACATGGGAGAAGATGAGGTCCACTGTCAAGGGAATATTCAACAATCCACGCAGTTGGTTTCAATAATTGAAGTGCCCTCTGCACAGAGCGCGTTAAACTGTCAACAGTATACAGAGTTCATCAGTACGGAAGCTGTGTTAAAGGAAAATATATTTATATGTTATTATATCATTATTAGGAATAATATTCAATAGCATCACTCTTATTCACTGTAGTGTCACAAAAATCAATCCAACCACTAGGGGTCTCCTATAAGATTGTATTATAATTATTATGATTATTGTAATTAGGAAAAAGCACATTACTCCACATTAAGTGTTGTAGTATAACCATCAGGTGAGCATTGATACGTGACGATCTTTGTGTCACCACAGTGCATAAGTTATTGAACATTAAGTAATATATCTGTTTTCAGTATTGCACTTTGTCGAAATAAGAGTAGTAAGCAGTCATTCTCTATGAACAACCCTGTTAGCGATGCTTGCTAATAAGATAAGTCTCAAAGTGCTTTAATCATTATGAGTTTCATCACATGACCATTTCATTTTCACTTGGATTTATGTGTTAATTCGAAGATAAATATAAAACAGCAATGAAACATTCCTGATGATGAACTTTTCATAATCTTTTCCAGTTTCATTATTACATTTTTAGATTTTACTTTTCATTCATTAACTACTAACAAACTTTGACCATGCATTTTATCTCCTAAATCTTAATGCTGTAATTACACAAATAATAAATAATCATAATCATAACTTTATGAATATAGCACCTTTAAAGATAGAGTGTTTTGACAATCAAAGTAAAAGCGATAATAGGCAAGAGGCTCAAAAGGCAATATAAAAACAGAAGTTAAAGAGGGAGACATACAATATACTTCATTTTAAATAAGAACATGATGTGATGTCGTCTGTTAAAGCCTGAAGCCTATAGTTGTGTATGTTTTTTTTGTTTTTTTTATTGTGTAAGATAATGAACAGGATGTCGGTGTTTTTGCTCCTTTGTCGTCAATTTGTCATTTAATAAATTCTCAGTGGGAAGAACATGTGACCCCCACAGTCTTACCAGTTAAGAACCTGTCTGTAACATGAGAGGTGGCTCATCATCACTTCATTTAACCAAGCTATTCTTCAAATCAGAACAATTATATGGTTGTAATTATGCTTTTGTCAAATCATATTTCAATCCTGTGATCAATATTTCACTGCTTTTATTAATTATACTTGTTCTTAAAGTTTTGCTCTAATTGTACTTTGAACTTTTGCCGTCGCTCCAAACGTTTTATTGCATCACACGTCAGTGTCAAGATAGAGTTTGTTTTTTCTTCTTTAATTTTCATTTTATGGAAGTTGTGTTCGTTTAAATGACATTTTAAAACAGAATTAGAGCAGCTTCTGTTGAACCTGAACGTTTGTTTAAATCAATTCTTTGTGGGGTTTTGCTTTAATTTCATAATTCAATTTTAAAGAGAGTCGAAGTGACTAATAATTTTTTTGGGGTGTTTTTTTATTTTTTATTGTCTTTTACTTTGTGCAAACATTCACACACAGAGAGAGATTAGTGTTGAGATAAAACTCTGTGACTTGCACTGCTGGACTTAATGTAATCATATGATTTCTGCTGAATAAAAATGACTAGCCACAGAACTTGACAGCTCAGGTCTGGTCTCTGGTCTTTAAGGGGTTAAATTTTAGTTCAGTTTTGAGGTTAAGTTTTTTAGATAGAAAAATTAGATCAGACTGGGAAAGTTACTGCACTTTAAAACCAAGGAAATCTCTATTCAACCCAACAGGAGGAGTAGGTGCTCCAGTTCTGGAGAGGTTTATCCTCTGGAGTCTATTGCAGTTTACCAGTCTTGCAGTTCTGCCCTGGGCTGCCTGCTCTACCTGCCTGACGTCCTTTTGTGCAGCATAATCAAGGGTTTATCTCCCAGAAATATACCAACAGTTTATGATTGATGTACTGTATTACAAGTGTAAGCCTTAAGCCTTCCTTTTTTTTGCAGCCATATTAATAACACTTTAGGTAAATAGATGATATAGATTACTGCACGTGTTGTGATGTAGACCTAACTTATATAAGGTTAGTTAAATGTAGCACCAGTGAAAGTTAACAGCTTGACAGGACAAGAAACGAGGTTCGGAGGAGCAGTGGATCAATAAAATAATGTTGCTGCTTGTATAGAAACGTAGTAGCAGACAAAAACATGAAACGGCAGCACAACACAGACGTCCCAAAGACATTTAGACACTCAAACCAACCACAAAATTTCCCAACTTCTTTAGGAAAACAAGTGTGATTCCCTTTAACGTCTCAGTTTATTTGACTTGCACTGATTTAGTTCAAAAGATCTTTTTTTAGTTAAGGGGCCTTTATGTTCCTATTTTACTTCCATTTCTCCCTTTTTGAGTTTATTCTTATTTTCTCAGTCTATTACTAATCTATTTTAACTTGTTGATCCTAGTTATTTCTCTTAGGTTCAACACTTTGTTTGTTTACCTTAACCAGAAAACATAATTATTCACATCTGCATTACCAACATATAAGATAAACAAAAAATAAAATAAAATACACCCGTTAAACTTAATTAGCTGCAAAATATAAAATTAGGAAAATGTCAGAGGGGCAGGTGCTCGAGCACCACCTGAGGTCTATGTGTGCAGGTGTCTGGTGGGAGAGACAGGAAAGACTTAAACAGCCCCTCTACAACAGACTGAACACCCCACTCACTCAACACTTCCAGACAATTCAAAAACTAGAGCCTAGAAAACAAGCTCTATTATGGTTTGGACAAAATACATGAGATGCCTGTTAAAAGAAAGAAAATAAAGGTTTAATGTTGTGCAACTTAAAACCTCCCTGGTGACACTTACCTGCTGCTGGAAGAAATGAAGTCCACCACACTTTGATTCCACCAAATTCTCCCCTTTACCATGTGAAGCTGCAGAGAACAAATAACCACAAAATATGTGGGAGATTTAATATAATAATACTAATAATAATAGAATAAATATAAAATATCACCCATGCTTGTTGTTTTCTTATGAAATGTTGATTTATTTAACAAAAAACATGACAAGTCACACACACTAAAAGACAAATACATTTTGCTGCATACTGAGTTAAAGTGATCACAGATCTGGTTTGACTTAATGTTTGAGAAGTGTCTTGAAGGTGGGATAAGCTTCCTTTTACTTTCAGTACAGATTGTCCAGATGTGGTGCACCTATGAGCCGCCTCACAGCCCCCTCTGGTGGCCGCCTTTGTGCCATTGCCACTGTCACATCTGTTTAATGAATTCATTTAAAGGTGGTGGGGCAAGCCTAAGCAAAACCTAAAGAAAAAGCTAATTCAAAATGTTTGGACTTCTCAAAACTCAATGACTTATATTTTTCCAGTTTATTGCAACGATCAAAAGAAGATGTTTTAGTTTTATCTAAAACTTTTATGGACTTTCTTGAAAAGTGATTCTATTGATTTAAGTGATGTTTCCTCCTGTTAATGAGCAGCTGGTAAAAAAAAAAAAACTCAATGTTTGAATGTAGAAACATCCTGGCAACATTAACTCAGAGAAATTACCTGATTTGTTTAAAATGTTAATTTAAAAAAATGAAATTAAACTTTTCCATGTGACTTTTAAAGACAGAGGCCAATGTGACCCCCAGATTAACTGAGTGTTACCCTGTCTCTATGTATGTATGAGGATCATGTGTATATATAATTCACCACATTATGGGGATATTTCATTCCTTCTGTATACAGGCGTGCTTGATGGCCCTGTCCAGGGCCTTATAGGACTCACCATATTAACTGGCTCGCAGCCTGCAGGGCTTACTACTGTTTGAAGGACAATAAATGTGAAGTTACACCAGATTTTTGTTCTTCCTTTTATTCTCAGTCAGTTTGTTTTAATACTGAGTGGTAAGGAGTGTTTTTTTTAGGTTGATAACATTTGAAGAAATATCATGGCAAGAGTACTTGACTTAATGGTTTTAAGATTTGGAATCACACTTTTGCTCATTTTTGTGCCTTATGCATCTCATCTAATGTTGTAGACCCAAATGGCACCTGCTTCACAGAATGACTCAGCTATCATCTATATGGGGATATAGTGGTATAGCTTTATTGCAGATCAACTTCTGTAAGTGCATGTACGTGTGTATACATGTCTTGCTATGGTTGGGACAAATTTGTGTTTGAAACCATCAGTGTGAGGTTATTGTGGCCAGTCGTGACAGCTTCAAAAGGTTTTTTGATGGACAGCTGCAGTGACTTAGGTCAGTGTCAGGATAAGTCTCTGCGACATGAATGAAACTAAAAGTAACGTCTTTTGTTCAGATTGAAACGTGAGGAATGAAGTACACGCATCGAGCGGCGGGCACATTCAAAAGTTCTCCAGGAATGTCCAAGTACTTTTAATATTATCCTCTACCGGCGCAATATTCCGTAATTGTGTCATCAGTTCTGCTCTTGTTTAACTTTCTGCATGATATAAATGTGGCGAGGGTCTGGGTGGATGCTCACACTAACAGATGTAAAATATGGTTTAGAAATTTACACAGTGCACAACAACGCCACCCTGGGAATTTCACCCAGGGAATTTTGGTTCCAACTACTGGACACACAGGTTCGCTCTATTCAGTTAGCATAAGACGTGGTTCGTGGTATAAAAATATATATTTTATTACAATTGGTTAAAATAAATAACAATCAAAGTCATTCACACAAAAGAAGGGGACTAGTCAGGAGCAGAGGCTTACCGGGTGGACAGATATTAGTGAACGGGGAGTGGTTCACCCAAAATAAATATAAATAAATCACCCACGCACACACACGTTGAAGTAACCAACACCAGGGAGCACAACACATCAAAGGAGGGGACACCACCAGTCACCGACACCGCCGCCACCACCACCGGCCTCCAACAACTGAAACAAGAATAAAATATTAGGGGAGTTGCAACTCAAAACAAAAAAAGAAATAAACCAGTAATGGGCAAGTTAAACCTAGGAAACAGATGTATAGCCAACAAAAGGAAACCTAAATGCCCAAATGATAACTGCCCAACAGAAATCAAAGCAAAACAATTCAAAGAAAATACACAATTCCAAATATTATTTAACACAAGAGAAACAAAGGAAATCTAATTAACTGATCAAAAGAAACCCAAAGAAATGAAACAAATTAATAACCTAAGTAATTAACCCAAATTCAACTTATACAACCCACACCTCACTCATACAATTAAATCGACTAAAAAAGGGAAATCCAGCTCAGTACAAGCAAGCCATGCAGAGGTACTGTGAGTAACCTGAAGGCTCCAGGTAGCCTGCGGCAAACAGTCTTATTTTGAAAAGCGACGGCTTTAAAGGTCCGTCGAAAGCTGCACACCGCCGAAACGCCACCCAAGCAACAAGTAAAACAGCAGCAAAGCAGGCAAGAACAGGAAGCAAGCTGGAAGTAGAGCCGAGACAAAGCAGCAGCCGTCCGATCTGTGGTTTCACCTAACCAGAATATATTATTAGCACTGTACAATTTAGACTGAAAATGATGCAGTTGCAACAGAGACAGGACATACCTTCAGCAGAAGTGGATGCGAGCACACACTCATACAGGAGGGAGGACGAGAGAGACAAATCCGGACATCAGCATTTCCTATGACCACACTAGCATTAGCTGTCGGCATACAAATACCATGATGCAGAGAGAGGACACTTACCACGCCAAACAGGAGCATGCAGGAGCATGCAGGAGCGACAGAGCAGCACACACAGCGGGACGCACGCAGTGGCAAAGAGGGAGCCGGCCTTTTACCGGAAGCAATGTGGAAAGCGGAAGAGCAGGGGAGAAGGCCGTCTTAAATACGAGCCCCTGCTCACTGATAGGCTATTAGGCAATCGAGGTGCGTTCAAGGTATATTACCTGCAAAGCGTAGACTATACTGCCACATAAATGTAGCCCTAGGTTGTTTTAATACACCCTTGCCTTATTGCAATAATAGTTTGAGATGGTAAAAGTACATATTGTGTTTCAAAATTAGTGTATTTTGATTGACATGTTGAGTTTAATATGAAGAATGAGTTTATCACTTTAAATAGATAGGTTGCAGAGTAACTACATGTGCTTCTGTGTTTACCTTGTGTGGAAGAGAGCACAACTTACCTTGTTTATTTTATTTTAAAGGTGATTGGCTGTTTGTTAAGTCATGTCATTTTGCTGTGTTGTGATTGGTCAAGGGGCGGGACAAATAGACAGAGGGGGCAGAGAGCGCGAAATGCTGGAGAGGAGAGATATGGCGGCGGGAAAAGAAGAGACGGGATGAAAACAGAGTTGTAAAAGTATAATAAGTTTTGGAGTTGTCGTAACAGTTGAGGCTGTAGAAAACAGAGTCTAAGACTGAGAGACATTATTTTATGTGAAGCGCCGGAGGAGAAAAGGTATTTCTCCTGCTAGCTGCAAGAGCTCGTCTTCAGGAAGAGCAGTAGGAGTCCACCCGCTGCTGTGTCGGTTTCCCGAGGGAGAAAGGACATTTTCTTCATGTCAGCGAAGGAGCGAGACGGTTTGATCTGCCTGGTTGGTGGATCCGGAGCCGGCAACATGCTAGCCTTCTGCTCGGCTACTGCCTCTGCTCATCATTCTCTTCCCGCCACCCCACAGATATTGTGACTCGAACTCCGCCATAAACTGTGAGTATTCGCCATTGTTTTTGTTCGGCTAGACTGAAGCGGCTCCCTGTTTTGGCCTCCACGATCCCGAGTTCATCCAGGCCTGCAACGTGGGGTTATTTTCTTTATTTGACATTTTTGCCGGCTTGTGTGAATGTGAGTGTGTGGGTCCATTAGTCTAGCATATTATATCTCACTGGTAAACAAAAGGTATTTCATTCAATTCATGTGTGTTATAGGTTGAATTAAAAGCAAAGGAAATATTTCATAATAGAGGTAGAAAAAGAGATAAAAAAGTCTTAAAAGAGTAAGTTCATTTAAACGTTGTGAGAGTATCTCCTCTGATAAGGTCTTTATTTTCCTTTTAGTTAATAAATGTATCTAATTTGTGAGAAGTTGTTTGTGATATTTGGTAGTTACAATTCATAATTTACTTTAAGAAGTCAAGATTAAAAAAGAGTTAGAGCGTTGAACATTGATAGTGTAACACACTGAAAGAACGGTTTAATTTAGAGTCACTGATTTTAAAGGGCTTAATTAATCAACACAAGGGGGGAATAAAAGTAATGAACACAGGGCCCTGCCTATGGGAAAGGTACAGAAAGGGTTACATAAAAATATGTTCAACTAAGCTTCAGTGCAGTCATCTGGATTTTAAAGTGTGTTTTGTCTGTATGCTAATAAGGCTGAGCTGCCTCTGTGACGGGATTAGTCGGAGCAGAGAGGAGGAGCCTCCAACTCCACAGCTTCTGCTATTGGTGCAGCGATGACCCTGTCAGTCCTCACCACAGCTGTTGACGTTTCAGCATCAGAGGAAGAGAGTTTAAGAGCCGGGCCGGCACATCATTAGTGGCGGCTGACATGATAGGCAACTCGCCTCTGTACCGTCTTTGTGAACATTTGTGTGTAATTTGTGATTTGGTCTTAGATGCTGTTGTTGATTGTTGGGGACTGGGCTAGGTTTAAAATTCTGATTGTGTGTCACACCCTTAGAAAAAGACTGTTGGACACATTAGGAACAGGGGCGCTGATTCTAGTGTTTTTGGGTTTGTTAGAATCGCATAGTTAGGCTCTGTGTTGGCTCCTCTTCCCCTACTTCAGTTATCCTCTTGCCTTGTTTGTATTTTTGTTTACTTATTTACCCTCCTGGTTACACAATAAATTAAATCAGTAAATTTGATTTACCAATAACCTGGTTTTATGTTGCTTCCCTTTTCCCCTAGCTGGGTCGTAACACAAAGCCTGCCAACATATGGTGACTGGGAAGATGGATGCCAGAAGCCAATGTGGTTGTTGTGAACTGACACCTGGCTCTATGAGCAGTCCGCGGTCAGTAAGTGAAATACTGTAAAATACTTCCTGGGCTGTTGTATCTTCTTTGCTTGCAAAAATCATCTGCCTGGTACTGGATGCGAGTCCCACAGCGTCTGAGGTTTTACTTTCTCAGCAAAGTGGTTCCACAAAGGGTTTATATCTTGATGCTTCATGTGAACAGTGCAACATCTACTGGCCTGAATGCAATATGGGCAAATACAAACGTTTGTACATCACAAATTGAATGTAAGTATAAGGGAAAGCATGATTGTATTTTATTTTCCAAGCATAGATGAGTGTAGTGAAGTTGTGTACTCTGTCCACCTCTGCTGTTTATACAGAGGTGTTTCTGTTATTTAACCTATTTTTGTTGATATAAATGGGTTGAACAAAATAATAGAAAATAATAGAAACTTTAAAGCCATGGCGAATGTCTTTATGTAGCAGTAGTTTTGTGTTGGCATCGGTTCTGAATGTTTCTGTCTCTTTGATTACTAATAATCAAATCAGCCTTGAAAAATCTGTTGATCCCTATTGCTGTTAGTCAATTTAGGCTAATTCTGTCCTTGATTAATTAATGTGTTATTCGGTTAATACAAAGCAATACACCATGAATGAATGAATCCAAGTTTATGTTAAGCTCTATGTGGTTCTATACAGTACATAATATATACAGTTCATCATACTATTTGCCTTTTTTTAAATCCTAAAAGGATTTTAGGTGCTATCTTCATCTCTAATGTGGCGTTCCTTAAATAGTTATGAAATAAGTACAATAAAGTAATTTGATAAACATGACCCACTCTGTCTCTTTCCAGTCTGCTGAGATCAACAACTGCCGGGCGAGATGCTGTGATGCATTGTGGGGTTTTTAGTATCAACAACCTCAGGCCGTCCTTCAGCCTTGCAGGTAGCACTCTTCCAAACACACATATTTACACCTGATGTAAACTGATTGATTTCCTCACTGGTGTTAAATATCTTTGGTTTGATCTGAAGTGAATGTGAACATTGATGTGTGGCCGTCACTGTACTAGAACCCTCCCCAAGAAGTATGGTGTGCAGTTACTGATCTCAACAGCATGGAAGTTATTAGTAAGAAGCATGTCTTAGGTGCATGATGCTAAAAGCATCTCACTCACATTTTTGGTTGGACCACAGCAACACTGACACTGACTGACTGACTGACTGACTGACTGACTGACTGACTGACTGATAGAGTTGAGTTTTACTGTTAAACCTGTGGTCAGCTGAAGACCATGTGACGTGAGTAATGAAGTTACACCATTGGTCTGTTGGCTTGTTTTTTGACTCCAGGTATTCACAGATCAGCGGTCTCTGTTTTCTCCTGTTCAGCTGAATGAAGTTTCATGTCGTCTAGTGCTTCATTTTTTCCAAGCAGCTGACTAGGGACTGAATGAGACTCTTTCACCTGGTGTAAAGCTCAAGTGTCTTTGCTAGTTTTGGACTGATGCAGTTGTTCATTTTTCCATCCAGTGCACACATTGTTTAAATAGCCAGTTATTTAATTGACCAACAGAAACCTGGTCTTCAGTATTATTGATAGTGTTTGATCATAATAAATTAGGAAAGATCTGTAAAATAACCGTTTTTCTCTGCAGAAATATTAAGGAAACTTTCCGTTAATTTATTGTTTTTACACTTTATTTGAATTAGGATATTTTACTTTAATTTCATGGTTTTTGTTTGGCAGCCGCTGCTTTCAGTCATTTGACTGTTTTTTTTACGATTGTTTTTAACAGTGTAGGTAAAAACATATGGTGTTTTAATGATATATTTTTATCATATATACAGTATATGACATATATAGTATGATATACTCATAATCCAAACACCCACTCTCCTCAGAGTGGGTGTGAGTGTCTGGGAGGCTGAATGAGGTCAAACTTCAGATTGCTTTATTGACATGACTGTATTAAATCACAGTGTCTTCAAATCAAGATGCTGAATGAAAGTATGATTCAGAACATAACAAAACAAATGGTTTACGTTTTACTATAAAATGAACACTAAATAAATATGCACAATGATGCACTATACATCTACAGTACACTGCAATACCACAAAGTATATAGCCTGCTATAATTCAAGAAAAACATATGTGCCACCAAACCATGAGTAAAATAAAATATTTATAAATAATAAGCTTGAACAATGTAATACAACAGTGATGGTGAAAATAAAATAAAAAATAAAAACGGATCTACTGTAACGATCAGTGAAAAAGTGGAAATATGAGACGTTGAAAGAAAATTCAAATGTTCATTCATAAAATGTAATGCAATGTAATCGTTGTTTTGGTCGCACTAATGAATGATCGTAATGATGTCATGATTTAATTTATTGGGGGGGGGGGTCTGCTTGGCCTCTATCATACTGTAGTTGACCCTCTTGGATATTGTAGGAATCTTTAAAAATGTGACCAGTGAACCTTCAGGTGTTAACATAACACAGGTGTGTAAACACAATGCTGAGTTTGCTGGAACATACAAATACATTTTGACCGTGCAGTTTCAAACACAGTCACTTAACTGGACAGAAGGAGTCAAGGTACAAGAGTCAGGATATACTGATGCTGGGGGGCAAATATAACAAAATAATAACTTAATTAAATTGATTTGGGGAACAGAAAGTATATAACAAAATGAAAGACGGCCAACATCATTAATGGGTGTAGTCAAAAGTGAATCACACATAATAATTATAATTGGCACAATCCTTCCACTGAACAAACCAGTCTCTATTTTTGGACACTCAGGAGAGACTGTCACTGTCGGTGCAGTGTTGAAGCTGTGCAGGAGAGGTAGCTGCGTTTGCTCGGCCAGTTTGGTTTTAGCGCATCAGGTAACGTCTATATAATATATACATATATATATATTATATATATATATATATATATACAGCAATTATGACAAAATTTCACACAAATGTTGAATATTATATATGACTGGATAAACCAGGATGTAACCTGAAACTATTCTGAATGGCGGAGGCACAAAGGCTGTAATTCTAGTTTTATAGTTACGTTTCATTGCTAATTACATAATAATTACATAATTACTACGACTAGTGGTCGTAGTAATTATGACAGGAGTGAAGGGAAAAGTGTCGGTGACGCAGTATAAAGAGAGTGGTGTATGGACTAACATGACACAGGAGAGCGTTGTTCGATTCCCACGCGAAACCAGCAGTTTATATTGTTCCTATTATCCATGACTGTACGTTGTTATTATTGTAACCATGACAACAAAGATTGTCTAATGTTGAGGAAGTACTTATTTTAACCTGAATCACCATGTTTTCCTAAACCTAACCGAGCCGTGACCGTTATTATTGTAACCATGGCGATGGTCAGTGCGCTGCTCTCTGTACAGTAACCGTGACAACCAAGGTCCAATCAAAATGACCCATACGGTTGTTAAGGTTGGAGGAGTTGTTGACTGAACCCATGTTTCCTCCTGTGATGTACCAATGGTGTGAGAGTCTGTGAGAGTCTCAAATAACAGAATCAGATCTGATCGGCGAGGCTGACCGGGGAAATGATCAGAGGGGCAGCGTTCAGGCCGCCGTGATGAAGACCGGGGCTGAAGAAAGGGCTGAGTTCCCCCGTGAAGCAGCAGCCAGTGAAGGAGTAGAGATGAACTGCAGCATCCACGTCATAAAAGGAGACCAGACCCTCTTCGTAACTCACAAACACCCCCACCCTCTGAGGTCCTGCCGTCAGACTGAGGCTGACAACGGGGCTGGCTAGAGTAAGGTACTCGTTTCTATTCCTCAAACCCAGAGCCCAGTAGCCATTCACAGGACTCAGTGGGATTATTCCCTTTCTGTTGACCGACCTTTTGGTCACTCCCAGAGTCCAGTCCGTCTTCCCTGCAACCTGAACCTCGTAGTAGAATCTTCCAGAGGAGAAACTCTGCCGTGCCAAGACATTTGCATAAAGAGAAAACCTCTCCTGGTTGTCGGGCAGGTCCCTCCTCACCTCGCCACACCTCACTTGTTTCCCATCGTCAGACAGGATGAGCCAGGGATTCGCCGTATGAGGTTCAAGAGTCACATCCGTTGCGTAATGCCGAACCCTATTCAGCCTGGCATTGTGAAGCAGCTTCTGCTTTCCCCTGCTGAGCATCTCCTCCAGCTCATCCACAGCTTTCACCACTGTCCCCTCGTACGACGGCGGGCGGACTCTGACCTCGGTCCAGTTCTTGGTGCAGGGAGCAGCGTTCATGGATGTGAAGCTCTGCAGGAGGAGGAGATGGTCTTGAGTGCGTGAGAGCTGCTGGACCTCAGCGGTTCTCGTCGTCAGCGCAGAGATTTCTTGTTCCAGTTCAGTGATGAGGCGGTCGGCCTGTTCCTCTGTTGACTTCTGCCTCTCCTCGATCCCTTCGATGAGCTGGTTCAGACGTCTCTCGGCAGTCTGCATCAGAGCGGTGAAGATCTGAACGCCGTCCACTATCTCTCGCTCTGCGTCTTCCTTGCTGTACGTTTTTAAGCGCTCAATCTGCCGGATCTTCAGCCGTCTCTCTTGGATCATGTGCTGGATCTCAGCCTCCGCCCGCTCCAGCTCAGCACTCTTTGCTTCATATTCGTCTTTCAGAGACACAATGTTGTGCGCCACGTGCTCTGAAACAGTGCAGAGGGAGCACACGCACGTCTGGTCCGTCTTGCAGAACAGCTCCAGTGGTTTTTTGTGCTTTGAACACACCCTGTCCTCTATGTTCACTATAGGATCCACCAGCGAGTGTCTCTTCAGCGGTCCAGCCGTCAGATGAGGATCCACGTGGACACCACAGTACGAGGCGAAACACGTCAAGCACGACTTCAGAGCCTTGAGTTTCGTTCCGCTGCAGATGTCACAGGGCACATCTCCCGGTTTGGCCACTTGTATCTCTGAGCCCCGGCTGCCTTTGTTTCCCGCCGACTGTCTGAACTCAGTGGCCATCTCAGATATGAAGGTGTTGACGGTCAGTTCGGGTCGCGTTTTAAAATGTTTTTTACACATGGGACACTGGCAGTGGATGCTGTTGACATTCCAGTGCTGTGTGATGCAGCTCTTGCAGAAGTTGTGTCCACATGGGATAGTGACCGGGAGAGTGAAAACATCCAGACAGATGCAGCAGAGAAATTGCTCCTCAGTTAGCAGACAGCTGGTGGCTGACATGGTGACACACTGAGGACAAAAATGAAAGTGAAACTCAAATCACTACATATCTTCAGCAGATACTCGATCCTTTCTACAATCATTAAAACAAGTAAACAGGAAGATCATGGGTGTACTTGATGAGCTAATGTGATCTTTATACTGCACTTCATGTAAATGTTATGTATACAGTCAATTAGTGTTTTTTAATGGTGGGTTTTTAAACAGGATAAATAGAAGTGACTGTACCTGTGTGAGCTGAAGAGAGGAGAAACTGACCCTGATGATGATCCTGAAAAAGTTTTATTAATCCTCAGACACAGAGACTCATGTCGGCTCCAGCACAGCTGTTGCTCTGAGCTGCTTTGAGTTATAAACAAGGAAATGAGTTTCTGAAGCGCTCCCTCTCCTCCCTCCAGAGCTGCCCGCCTCCTTCCAGTAAAGTGTGTGTGTGTGTGTGTGTGTGTGTGTGTGTCATTCAAAGTAGGTCTACCTGCTTTGTGATTACATAACATGGTTCTTGACGGGATAGTCCCGTCAACACAGGGCTGTCGATGGGCAGAAATACAGTTTCTCATATTCTAAGACACTTTTAGAAAACGTGACACATCCACAAAAAACTTTGTTGCCGTGGGCAAAACAAGCAAACGCATGCTTCAGATGATGATAAGAAAACCAGAAAGGACTGAACGTGCGTGCATTTGAAGTTTTGATCTATGCAGTTGCGATATGAGAACACAAGTCAGGTCTGGATTGAACTACTACGGAGCAGAAATGAGCCGTGGTCCCCTAAAGACTTCCTGTTTGAGGTGTCACTTCATTAAACTCAGATTTATTTGAGTTGTATGTAAGTTTTGCTATTGCTACATAGCTGATGTTAGCATTAGCAGCTGTTTACTCATCAGTCTAGAAGAAGAAACGTTGTGAGCTCAGCATCAAACTTCATCCCTTTACTTGCCAACATCTGTCTCCAGAGGTGGAAACAAACACCACTGTTCACTCTTGTCTCTTATCACTATTATTCTTTTCTTCTGCTGAAGTTAGCATGCTAACCAGCTAGCTCTGGCCAGACAATGGTTAAAGCTCTTGCAAAGCCTGGTAAGTAAACAGCTTTTAATGCTAAAGATCCTGGTTTAATACAGAAACAGTTCACAACCTAAACCACCATCTTTCCACTGAGCTGAAACAAAGAGCTGCTGTTGTCGAAAGTGAACCACAGGTGGAAATACAAACCCCAGCCTCTGATGTGAGAAGTCACAGTTCAGCCCAACGCAGAAGAAGAAACATAACTTCTAGAGACAGGACTGGACTTGATTATTTAATGTCGTGCTGTAGTAGGGCCCCCTCAGGGTTTGTGGCCACTGAGCAGTTGCCAGCCAATTATAAGATTTGTTACTGGTTATCTTTATAACTCACTTAAGAAAATGTTTTGGTTTGTAGTGTGAAATCTTACCTCGTCAAATCCAGATACAAGACTGAAAGAGAAAGTAAAGTGTTCACTACAGCTGTGAGTAATGGGGGAACTCAGGAAAGTACCTAATGGCCCAGACACAAGGAAGTAAAGAGCCCAGATCACTACATCAATGTGCCTGTCAGCCATGCTTCGCTTAGTCAGACATAACCTGACAGTTTTATATTATTTCACCTATATAAAAACATATGCACCAATAATGTGAGAACGCTAAGAGTGTCATAGATGGATTTTCTCTTTAAATCAACTGTAAACTTTTCAAAAAGCTATTTTCAGAGGTGGTTGAGCTCTGACACTTGTAAACAAATATGTCGGCCACATGGATGTGATAAAGACATTCAGAAATCTCACCTGGTTTGACTAAAGTGTGAGACTCCAGGTTGTGAACACTTTTCAGTTTGGAAAGTCAAAGACACGATGGATAAAATGTTGTGTAATATAAAGTGTATAAAGTGCAATCACGTTAAAATACTGGAATAATACAAAGTCATCTGTTTTTCACTTCAGGCCTGGATTGTGTTGAATAAAGAGGTCTTCGATTGTTTATTGAATTTATTATCTATGCCGTATTTCGGAACTTCTTCAAGTTTGGCAAAAACATTAACTAGGACTCAAGGATGAACTGATTAGATTTTGGTGTTCAGAGTTCAAAGGTCATGGTCGTGGTGACTGCAAAATGTGGATTTGGCCTTGTGAACACATTATCTCTGTAACGTTATGAAGTAACTTCTTTAACTTTGGTAAAAATGTTCACATGGACTCTTGGACACAGTGATTAGATTTTGGTGACCAAAGGTCAAAGGTGAATGTCATGGTGACCTCACAAAACATGATTGTGAAAACATGCCAGAACTCTTCAAGGGAATCCCTTCAAATTTGGCACACACGTTCACTTAAAGGATGAACTGATTAGATTTTAGTGTCTAAAGGTCAAAGGCCAAAGGTCAAGGTTGCGGTGATCTCAAAAAACCCTTTTTAGCCATTACCCAAGACACAGCGCACAGCAATTATGACAAAATTTCCCACAAATGGTTTATATTTTCTATGATTCTGATAAACAGGGATGTGACCTGGGGGTCAGCTGTAGGTGGATGACGGCTGTGGCTCATATCGTGACCCGTTTCAGAAAGACAAGAACAGCAAATCTAACGGTTTCTAAATGTGAATCCTCACGTTAACTTGAAAGGTTCAAATGGAAGAAAAAAGGATCATCTCCTCATCTGTAACTGTGTCAGAGCACGACTTCCAAAGACATAAAGAGCAGCTGATCCATCACGCCTGTCTTTAAACTGCTCAACGCTCCTTCCTCCATCGGTCTCTGAACAGAGTATGAGACATAACAGACCTGCTGTTGTTAAACCATTGCTAAATTATTCCAAAAGATTGATGATGATATGAAAACAAAACCAACAGCCTGTTCATTGCAATGCTTTTCAAAGTGGTGCGGTCATGTATTGAGCTGATTATTGAGCTGGTTTCTGATCTGCTTTTCCTAACGTCTCTCAGAACTGCTAAACACAGTTTTAGATCCATACCCAGCTTTCCCACACAAGACACACGATCTAAGACAGCTGTAAATCACCACACATAATCCAAATGTCAACAACTAGAACACTGTGATTATAGATATGATGAACACCAAGATCATTTACTGGAAACTGGAAGATCAAAGAATATTGGTCAAAAGGAATATTTGACGGTACTTTGGGTAGAAGAAGAAGAAGAGGCATGAAAGAAGGTAGAAAACGTTGTAGGGATGAAAGCAAAGCAGATTACTGTTGGTGGTTTGGGCTAATGTGAGGATTGAGACATCAACATGGATTAGTGTGGCGGAAACTGACAACCAACATGAGCGAGAGCGAGTTGAGAGATGTGGAGAAAAGAGAGGAGAGGGAGGAATTATAAAAAGGAGGAGAGATTTTAAAGTGGGAATAAGAGGTGAAAGAGTAGGAGGAGGCAGAGAGAGAGAGCGTTCACAGCATCTCTCTCTCTTTCTCTCTCTATACATATATATATATATATATATATATATATATATATATTGTGTATACATGGATATAAGCATATACGTACATACAAGCTGAGTCGTTTCCCCAGTTTAAAACACCACTCAAAATGTACTTGTATAAATCAGCTTTCCACTTTTGGTTTTATTTAATTTTTTCTGTTTTATTGATTTCATTGTTTTAACTCTTGTATTTATACTTGCCTTGTTCATTGACATGTTGCTTCTCTTCTCTGTGTCTGTTATTGCTTTGTTTTGTTTTTTATGATTGTACAGCACTTTGTAACTCTGTTAAGTGCTATATAAATAAACTTATTAGTAGGATACATACATACATATACACCTATATACATATACATATATATGTATTTAACAAATAAAAAGCTTAGATATTTCATGTTAGAGGGAGACCTGCTCCTACAGTTTAATGCACGACTTAAATCATCTCCTCAAACACGATCCGTCTGTTTCATTAACATTGTCGAGTATAATTAGTCAACTTCCTTTACTTAACTTGAATTTACTTACATAGTTATTTTGATTTATTCATCCTGTTGTACTTAATAGATTATATGTGTGTATGGATGTATTTTTTTCTTGATATCATTATTATATTTCTGTGACACGTTGGCAATAGTGTCCACCTGACATTCATGCCAGTAAATCACACTGAATTAAACTGAGAGAGAGAGAGAGGGAGAGAGTAGGAAGAAGCCAGCTCTCTGCCTTCACACTCTCTGAACAGCCGCTCGCTGATCGCTGCTGGCTGCTATAAACGCAGGATCACCTCTGTGGTTCAGACGCCCGGGTCTGTAGGGGACAGAGGGAACGACCGATGACAAGACCGGAGAGCGGTGACAACCTTGACACAACGAAGACATCACCACAAACATTTCAGAGGAACGTCCACACACACCGAGATAGGAAGGAGACAACTGCAAAGACTGTGTCAAAGACCAAGAGGAAGAAGAAGACGGTTGGATGTCAAAACCTGACGGTGGAAGAGAAATCTCCATCTTCAGCTGTGAGAGGAAGAAGAGACAGAAGAGAAGCAGACTAGAGGCAAGAGGGACAGAAAGGAGAGCAGCAGGAGGAGAGAGAGACAAAGAAGAAGAAGAAGTAGAAAGCAGTGCTAAAGGAAGAAGACAAGGGGGACAAGCAGAGGAGGGACCCAGACTAACCCTGGAGTATCTAAACAGCGCTCTGCTCAGCCCAGCAGGGAAGATGTCCAAGCCCTCCTCCCGTCTGGGTCGACCCGGTTCAGCGGGGTCTAAGAGCCCCAGTTTGAGGAAGGAGCTGCAGGGTAATCGCTCATGCATGCTGAGGATCGGGGAGAGGCTGATGAGGGCAGGCAGCGAGGGGAACCTGGTCCAGAGACCCGCTCCAGCCCAGAGCCAGAGCCACGCTTCCTCAGCTGGATTAGGGTCAAGATCGAACGGGCGGACGCAGGCTGCAGCCCTGGAGGAGAAACCCACAGGAAACACCTCCAGCAAAGGTACGGTGCCTCTCTCCAGCTCTGTGGGTAATCAAAGTTAATGCTGTTATACGACATTAGCCAAGCATCGCAACATAACACAGCAGAGCAGCAACAGAGACTGCGTCCTACGTGCTGCAGTCAGATCGGTCCCTCCAGCATTTGGCGGCTTTTTTTGGGGGGATTGTTGCAGCTAAAATACCTGACTTCACAGCTGCTTTTCTTAAAAATTGGGCTGTTTTCAGATGTTTTTAGATGTTTTTTTGTATAATTCATTAAAAAGGCGACTTGTAGCAGTGAGAACAAATCCAGCGCAGTGAACAATGAGTGAAAGGATGTTTTCTGTCTTTTCATCTTCACTAATTAATGATTTAGTTCACATTTAGCTCAGTACCAGCAGCTACTGGTATCTTTTAAGGTGGAATGTTTTTATTGAGTGTTTGGAAATCAATCAACACACCTTAAACTTTCAACATGAATTAGACCTTTTGTTTTTATCAGCTGTCTTCACGACAGACTCTTTAGTGATGATCGGATCTTCAAGCTCTTCAAATGTAGATAAACGTCAACGTGGGGGACTGGAATGATTGGTTCAACTCATGGGAAACCGATGATTTTTGATCAAATTTGTGGAAAAGTTGTGATTGATTGGACAAAAGTGCGCAGAGTTCACGGAGATTGGTTGAATTTGCATTAATTATTGCGACTTTCTGGAAGGACTGGAAGATGGAGCAGCTTGGTTCCAGCCTGCATCTGTTTTATCTCCATCTACCCCTAGGTTGTTGGTGATGTGCTGTATCAGTAGTGTCTTTAATCCCATTCAAAGAGCTTCCTGCAGTTTTGTGTTGAACCGTATAAAGAACAAGATGTTATTGTGTCAGTGAGTCAGAGCCGGCCAGAGTCAAGCCTTTATGGGGCCCGAAGCAGAATTTGAATTGATTTTTAAAAGAATGTTTTTATTATTTCAGTGATGATCATTTATATTCTGCAGTGTGTTGAAATACATATCTAAAATGTTGTATTTCAGCTCTGTAGCCCAGAGGAACATTACAGAAATTGGATAGTTACCAGTCTTTCTCTATATACTCTGTGATGTCTTTTTTTTTTACTTCATACTGCATACAGTTTTAACCTTCATTCTACCATAAATAAATAACTATTAGAACTAATGAACAGTTTCCAAGCCAAGTGCAGTAGCACTTATCTACTTTTTCCACTGCTTAGAGCCCAAATAATGTCATTATATGTGACAGTCTGGCAGACCGTTGTGGCGGCTATGGGAGCTAGAATGTTGGCAGTCCTACCTGCCACCAGGGGGCCCCCAAGAGAGCTTGAAATGCCCCACGAGATCCAAACTGCATTTTGTGAGGTCACCTCGACACTCACCTTTGACCCCCAAAATCTATTCACATCATTCCTTGAGTCCTAGTGAATGTCTGCGCCAAATTTGAGGAATTTCCGTCAAGGTGTTACTGAGATATCTGTGTCCACGTGAATGGGATGGATTTCAAAATAAAACAGGAAGCACTACAAAAAGTCCAAGGGGTGCAGATTGATACACACATATTGTTCTTTCTGCCAAGAGGGAACAAACTCCTGAAATCTCTTGGAACCAAAAGAAACAGACATGAACCGTTGGTCCAGTTAGCTCATAGTTAAAATCTGTTTGTCTTTTCTGCCTCACAGTGTTTTATTTCAGGTATATTTAACATACAAATGCTCAAATTGGGGAGATAAACATAATGAGACCTCAGACTAATGTGTTATAATTATGTATATACACCCTGTTTTAAACTGCAGTTGGAAAAGCACAGAGGGAGAGCTCATGTCTGTCCTCACTGTCCTGCATCAAGGCTGGATTAGTTCCTGTCATGCTGCCAGAGTTTATGCATGAACTGTCAGTGTCAGTGTGTCAGTCCAGCAGTGGGACTCTGCCTTCAACTCATCGACCTGCTCTGGTCAGAACTTAGTATATGACTGCATTGTACATATAGATGTATTCACATGGAGAGCCTAACAGACACTAGGCTACTACTTTTGTGTTTATATTAGCTTAAAGATAATTCTGTAGCCAGCAAGGGGGGTGGCACATCATCATATGTCGACAGGCCTAACCTCGCTAACCCTCCAAAACCTGGCTGGTAAATATTTAGTTTTTCATCCTCCTTTCTGTCGAAAGTTATAGTCGTCCTGCACTTTTTACACATCAGCCAGAACACTGTATATCATCTTTAGATGTCAGCTAGCGAGTTAAGCTAGCTAGCTAGCTAGCTAGCTTGCTGCTAACTGCTAACTCACCTCAACCTCATAAATTCTCTCTTTCATGGATGCCTGGACTCTTCACTAGGGTGACCAGATGTTTTTAACAGTTGTGATTAAGAGTAGTGCTCATTTTGGCCAACAGAGGGGGCTGGCTGCTAGCTATAGCAGCTTCAGAAGTGAAATTAAATTATCAAAATAGAGTTATTCAATCAGATTTTTCTTTTTTTGTCGTTGTTGTTGTTGATGTCTCTAGGCAGAGAAAAGGTTAGCTGGCTCACTCATAGGTTATACGTTAGGAGTTCATAAACCAGGCAGTAAACTAACAAGAACAAACATACTTCAACTTCACGACTGCTTCAAAGGTAGGGAGTTGTCAATTTATCAGTTGGCCTTCACAGTAATTTATTACAATACAACAGTTGCCGTGGTCAAAATACACGACTGTTTTATTTCATAGGTAGAAACATATATTGACCGCCGAACTGAAGAAGTCCCCAGTTTTCATTTCAGATATCTGGTCACTTTACCCTTGATTATCCCACTGACGCTGACCACGCTATTGGAGTTGTGGAAATTTAGACCCTTTTTAACGCTTAATGGTCCCTCACCAAAGAAAGAAGTAATGGTGAAAACATTTACAGGTTTTGTCGCCATTTTTATTTGGTTTCTAGTTCTGAACCATGGACCTGGAAATGGATTTTACTTCACGTGTGGCGTCAGACTTAACAAGCGGATAGGGATTGATTATGTCAGATATGTCCGCAGTGCATATGTCAGTGAGCAGGTAATAAGACATGTCAGTGCACTGTGACTATTAAAGAGCACATAGTCTAATGTCTGTTACACACAATCATGTAATAACCAATATCTCACTCTTTAACTCAAACATCACAGATTTCTGTTCATTAACACTGGCACATTACAAAATATAAATAAATAAATGAAGCTATTGATAAGTCAACACTCTGTACATGTCGCACTGAATGTACAGTTCTTTGTTTAGAGCTTACAAACCCAGACTCTGTTTGACTCCATGACTGCACAATATACGAGCATCATTTCCTTTCGGGGTCATGTGCTCTCTAACAAAGGAAACACGGAGATACACCCGAGCCGCTCAGGCTTCACCTCATTGTTATTCAGAGAAAATAATCCTGATCTTCTCGATGCCGTCAGATAATATATTTTTACAGACCAAAGACCAGCCTTCCGTTATATTCAAAGAGCCTACAGCCATGTGCGTGTGTGCGTGCGCGTGTGTGTGTGTGTGTGTGTGTGTGTGTGTGTGTGATTATTCTCTTTCAGAGGACATTTCTGAAACTCTTTATAATGAGGCTACATGACTAAGTCATATGTTAATGCATTACTGCATGTATGACTCAGAGTGAATTCATGCTTTTAAATTAAAACATGACATATCACGGACATGCAGTGAGTATCTTGCAGTTTTTTTACTAAGTCAAACAGAGGGTCCAAAAAGATTATTTAAAATAATTTTAAAAAATTAGGTTGGGTTGAAATAAGATAAATAAAAGTTTCACAACCCCTCCATCTCAGCTGCCTGAGGATGCAGATCAGTGCTACGAGCCCATTTCAGCGATGAAGATAAAAAGTTCTCCTGTCAAGTCAAAAAGTATCTGTGACCCAGTCAGCTGACACTCCTCTGTTCTGGGAGACGAGACCTCATTATTTTCATCCATGGCGTGTCTCAGTAATGAAAACTTGTCAGTGTTGTTTCAGTTGCTTGTTTACTGGTAGAAGTCGATGTCGAAGTTCACTTCACGTCCGAGATGGAGTCACATAACTGAAAAATGTGACGTTTCAACTTGATTTTTCTTTCTTTTCTTTTGAAGACATTTCTGGCCTGTCATCCAACCACATCTAAAGAGAAGTATTTCTACCCGTTCTGAATAAAACTAGAATCACTTCCTGCTGTGTGAAGTCTTGAGTAATGGCTTAAAAAAAGTGTGAGGTCACACTGACTTTGACCTTTGATCTTTGACCACCAAAATGTAATCAGTTCATCCATGAGTCAATTTTTTCCAAATTTAAAGAAGTTCCCTCAAGGCGTTACAGAGATATCGCGTTCACAAGGCCAAAACCGTGTTTTATGAGGTCACCAGGACCTTGACCTTTGACCTTTGACCCCCAGAATCTAATCAGTTCGTCCTTGAGTCTTAGTGAATGTTTTTGTCAAATTTGAAGAAGTTCTGTCAAGGCGTTACTCAGATATCGTTTCCACGAGAATGCGATGGACGGACGTACAAAATGAAAACAACAGTAGGCGGCAGTAACCAGCAAAACCACCAGCGAAGAAGAAAGAGAGAAGAAACAGTAATAATGTCTTCCTCACACGGTGGTGAACATGAGTCAAATAACGCGACAAGCACCAGAAAACCCACTCTTGATTTTTATTGTCTTCTATGAAAAGGAAAAAGGAGACGTTCAAAAGCATTCATGTGTTCACCAGAGGATGTGTTGCTGTGGGCGGGGCCACGGGAAAAAACGTGTTTTAGACACTTTTAAAAACACCCACTGAAACAATCCAAACTTTCTTATTAGTTGAAAAAATGTAGTGCCAAAGTTGCTGTTTTTACAGGAAGATAAACCACAAATATTCAACATGCCTAAAACATGTTTTTTTCTCGTGGCTCCGCCCACAGCAACACGCTCATCATGATCTACTGTATTTAATGTACCGACTGTATATGACTACCTCTCACAACCCCACGTCAAAACACCAGAACTGCCCCTTTAAA